ACAGTATACAAGAACAGCTAGAACATGCAAGTTAGGAATGATTCAACCTAATATTTCGATGGTTTCTGTATGTGAAAACTCATCTTTCTGTGGTCATGTTATCATGCCGTGGCTGATCTCTGATTGACGTGTGCACTCGGAGCGACCTGGCTGACACACACTTGGCCTGCCAATCACCTTTCAAACACAATCACTGAACACAGATCAGACCTCGGATTCACACGGACTCATCTTAAAAGGAAGGCGAAAATACATTATTTCTTTGTGTTGGAGGTTGGAATGATAGCCTGGCTAGAAAGAACAATGCTAGAAAGAAAACAGGTGTTAAAATGGTCATATCATACATTTTTTCCCACTTTTACATGTTGAGTCATAATTCAGGTCAGTTCAGAGGTTCTGAGCACTGAAAGTCCATCAAGTTCTCAAAGTCAAAAGATCAAGAGATGATTCTACATGATATGAACTTTTGAAAGTAAAGCGAACGCACGCTAACTCAGTGCCGCAGGGCAAACTCATTGAGATGAATTTCTGTTCACCCACTATATATAGTCTGCACGGCACATTTGTTTGTGTGCGTGACAAAGGTGTTGGTGTAAAACTATTTATCAAAGGCCTGTCTGTAGGTTATTGGCTAGATTGGGATGGTAAGATCGAATGGGAAACAGCTCATGAAAACAAGTCTCTCTCCTTTCACTAATGATCTTTTCATCACTTTTTTTATTCTTATTCGCCACATCTTATTGTGATGTCATCACACCTGACGCAGTGGGAGTTCCAATTAAGAACATATTCTCATATGATCTCATTTGAATTCATTTGAACTGCTCTATTTATTAAAATGTTTTCCATATATATTTGTGAAATAAAATATAGTGTTCGTGTCAGTGACAATATTATGGGTACGATTCTCAGTGAACGCATACATTTATTACATAACCTTGAATATAAGGCACATCATCAGCATATACAGTACTTCAGAATTGCATTAAGAATTAGTTTTACATACTTTGCAGTATCTGCAAAATATTAATCATTTTACCAAAATAAGAGGGATCATACCATAACATCATGCATGTTATTTTTTTATTTAGTACCAGAATAGGATATTTCACATAAATGGCATTTATATAGTCCACATGAGTAAATAATAGTTGAATTTATAAAAATGACCCCTTTCAAAAGTTTACATACGCTTGATTCTTAATACTGTGTTGTTACCTGGATGATCCACAGCTGTTTTTTTTGTGATAGTTTTACATCAGTGTTCATTTTGACAGCAAATTTTTATTTAGTTTCAGTCATAGTCTTTTGACTAAAATGCCATTTAGTTTTAGTCATATTTTAGTAATCTGAATTGTTTTTAGTTTTAGTCTAGTTTTAGTCGACTAAATATCATAAGATTTTAGTCGACTAAATCTACAGTAAATTTAGTCGGCTAAAATCTAATGGGCTTTGTTACAGTGCATTTATTAAGCATTTCTCTAAAATTTCCAAACTCATTATATAGGTTTGATATTAAGGTTTTATCATGTTAGACACCAATTTAACTGCAGTGACACACAACATGCCTTTATGTTAAAATTAAATAAAACCACTTCTCATAAAGAACAAGAACATGGTCTTCTTTTTAATGAAATACCAATGGTTATATATAATGGCTAATTATGCATTCTTTATAGCAACTTGTTAACCATATTCTTCATTCTTTCAAGCAGACATATTTATTTCTATAAATAAATTTAGATTCATCTTTAGGGCTACTGAAGTTTTTCAGTCAAGAGCAGTGCGATGCGACGCGAAAGAGTACTCGCGCACTGTGAGACGCGCTTTCTGTGTCTGTGCTTCGGTGTCTGCGCTCAGAAAACCGGACCGAATTGAGTTCTCTTACATTGTCAGATTTATCCATATGTCTGCTCTTCTCTTACTCCCACATATTGACATTTTTGAACGTTTTATGCGACGTGCAGCAAGTGTATGTTAGCTTATGTCCCACAATGACGCATCTAACCTCCGAACCACGCAGCAGATTCGTTCTGAATGAATTTCTTCCCAAATCGTCCCTCCCTAACATTTTTGTCTCGTTTTTATTCGTTGACGAAAATGTCAATAGATTTACGTCATTGTTTTTGTCATTTAAAAATGAGTTTTAGTTCGTTATCGTCTCGTTGTTGTCGGTGAAAAAAATGTCTTGGACGAAAATTATTAGTCAAGGAAATTAACACTGTTGTACATGAGTCCCTTGTTTGTCCTGAACAGTTAAACTACAACATTTAGGATTAATAATACACCTTTCAAAAAAATTTGGTCAGTAAGATTTTTTTTTTAAAGAAATGAATACACTGAAAAAAATGATACTAAATTATATAAAGTATTTATTTTAGCTACATTTAAATAAACAAAAAAGTTGAACGTTAGTCAACTAAATTTGTTTATTTAAATGTAGCTAAAATAAATTGATTGTAACCACTTACCTTAAAAATTTTTGTAAATTCAATGACTAATTTTTTTTCAGTGTACTTTTATTTGGCAAGGATACATTAAATGGTTAAAAAGTGACAGTAAACACTTTTACATTGCTACAAAAAATTCTACATGATAAATGTTATATAGACTATTCTATATAATATTCTACTTAAAAAATGCTGTTCTTTTGAACTTTACATTCACTAAAGAAACCTGGAAAAAAATGTTCTAGTTTTTAAGCAGCACAACCGATTTCAATGTTTGCACAAGATTTCACCTTGTGCTATATATTAAAATGAAATAATAGCACAAGGTGAAATCATAAGTATGTTTTTTTTTTTTTTATTCAACATTTTCATAAGTTAACATTTTTGCCGAAGCATATTTTGTTCAAGCAATATTGCCCCTCAATTATTTAGTTTGGGCAATTAGGACTTTTAAACCATTATACTCTATGCATATTTAGTTTTTATGACATGATATTTACACTTATGCACTTGGCAGATACAAATCGAATTATATTGCACACAAGGTATACATTTTATGAGCTTTTGCACTTCTTGGGAATTCAACCCATGACCTTGGTGTTGCTAATGCCATGCCATGTTTCAATTAGAGTTACAAACTATTACACTATCCTTTAAGGAACATGCTGAAAGATCTGATGTAAAGATGTTAAGATGTTAAGGTACATTCCGCTGTCCAAAAAGATACACAAATTCTTAGCACTGCTACAACACAAACTCACATTTGAGCCCTTCCACAAACTCAAAGCGGTCGGCTCATTAAACAGCCATTGAGGGAAACCACCTTGACTTTTATTGACCCTATAAATCTAGTGAGGAGTGGATGAGAGGTCTCTGCCTTAGAGAGCGTTTAAAGACAAAGACTGCTGGTCCTTCTGAGACAATACACTTCCTGATTAATTATTAACAGCTTCACCACTGATAACTTAATTAGGGGCCAATGATGGGGCTTCAGTAAGAGCCTGGGCCCTTTCATTTGTCGCCACTTGATGGACAGGCACTCACTGGCTGCAAGTGGATTGTATGTGTGTGTCTACTGAAGGGTTTGTAATGGTAGTAAACATACAACACAAAAATACCACTCAACCAAGCGTCTAATAGAAACCTATTTTTGAAACTTTTATAATAAATGCACAATAATTCATGAAGAACTGAGGAAAGTTTAACCTCAAGAAAATGTAGATAAGAAGCCAAACTGTTAATTGGAACTTTTTTTTTTTCAAAGAGGATAAAATATCTCTTAATATAAAACTAGGTTATACTAGTTAACAAATGATTATTAACATGACACCAGGTTTTTTACCTCAACAATTTTCCATCAACAAATATGTAGGCTTTAAACCATCAAAATAGAAATTCAAGTTACAATATTACATTTTACAAAAAAAACTGCTAAATTAGTCCTGTCACAGGGACAAACATATTGAAATGATAAAATACATGATAAAAAAAAGGTGTAAAAGAAACAAAAATATATATAAAATTAGTGCTGTCAAACGATTAATCGCATCCAAAATAAAAGTTTTTGTTTACATAGTATATGTGTGTGTACTGTGTACATTTATTATGAATATATAAATACACACACATACAGTATATATTTTGAAAATATTTACATGTATATATTTATATTCATATAATTTATATTATATATAAATATATTTAATATATAAACGTAACATATTTTTCTTACATATATACATGCATGGGTGTGTATTTATATATTTGAATTTTACACACACACACACACACACACACACACACACACACACACACGCACGCACACACGCGCAAAAGAGAGACTCCCAAAAGTCACTTTAGTGGCCCCGTACAATTCACTTGTGGCAAAAAAAATAATTTTGGACCCTACACACAACACAAAACCTTTCAAACAGGGACAATATAAATAATCCTTTTGGCTATTAGCTAATTTAACAGTTATTTTTCGACAATATATTTACCTGGGCACATTTCCTCAAGTGAATGCATGCAAACAATGTCTGATCAGACCTGTCTGAGTACTATATAATTCCCAGTTACAAAAAGATACACAATAAGGACTTTTAGTGTATTTATGAGACTTCAGAAAAGCTTATTCTGGGGTTATTCTGAGGAGAGGTGTAACATGTCCAGTTTAAAATCAATAGTTGCAACCTTTCAAATTGACACTCAATAGCTCTGGAAGATAAACAGGAACTAGTGAAGCACAGCTAATGTGGAGATCAATTCATAATCATGACCTCCTAATATGTGCAGTGGTTCGAGGGACATGGGGGCAGGAAAATAAAATTAGCAATTAAAATTAAAATGAGTAATTTTAGCACCTAAAATGCATGTCCTACTCTTACTGCTCTCCATCTGTAATTATTAGAACCTACAAAGTAGAAGATAAAAAAGCTGTGCTTGCAAGAGGAAAAGACAAGTGAATACACTGAAGACAACATTATTACAGGAAACATATGAGAGGACACGACTGTACATTTTCTAGTGACATCATTATTGTGAACTCACCTCAATTGTGAACTGCTTTCTCTTGAGTTTGAAGGCCAAGTCCTTCGTATCGGGGACCTCACAAGACAGACAGTTCAGACGCGGCAACTGACGAACATGCAGGAGACCTGAACAAACACCGAAGACATTAAAGGGAATCATATCACTACTAAGACATACTGTAGGGATATATTGTTCAGTATAAACTTCAAATGTTTGTTCAAAAGTTTGGGGTTGGTAAGTTTTTAAAAAAAATTTATGTATCTTCTGCTCACTAAGACTGAATTGAGCTGATTGAAAATATATTACAATTTTGAAATATTATTACAATTCAAAATAACGGTTTTCTATTTGAATATATTTTAAAATGTAATTTATTTCTGTGATGTAAAGCTGAATTTTCAGCATCATTACTCCAGTCTTCAGGGTCACATGATCCTTCAGAAATCATTCTAATATACTGATTTGCTGCTCAAGAAACATTTCTTATTAACAATGTTGAAAACAGACATGCTGCTTAATATTTTTGTTGAAACCACAATATATTATTTTCTTTGGTGAACAGAAAATAGAAATCTTTTGTAACATTATAAATGTCTTTACTATAACGTTTGACCTAATTAATGCATCCTTGCTGATTTAAAGTTTTAATTTCTTTCAAAAAAGGAAAACACATTTACAGGTTGTGAGCAACACGTTTTTGTAGGTGCAACTTGTGTGAATGGGTTTCTAACACTGCAACACTATATTTCAAACATACGTTTTAATAGAGCTTTTTTTTTTACTGAAATTGCATTTAAAATCCATTTGTCTCTCAAATCTGAGCATGACATTTTAATGAGCATGATGTTTCTGACTATATTCACAATCTTATGCAGGCTAATAAACATGCTCTCTAGCAAATATTTTTCCCAGGTTTGTTATGCCTATTACCAATTTGAACAGACTCTGGTTTTCATTGTCTGCTTGAGTTTTACTGTGGACACATGTAGCTATCACCTTTCACACTGGCCACTACAGCATTGTATCAACCCTTATTTTATTAGCTGCACCAATGGGCAGAAACCAAAACATACGAGAGAAGAAGTGCAGCAGAGGGAGGGGAGAAATAGGTTGGTGGGAGGGAGAGAAAGCAAGAGAGGTGAGTGGAGGATGGGGGTAAAACAAGGTCAGTCGGCACAGGGGCATGTTGGGAAGAGAGAAAGCTTTTTCGCCCTCTTTCTCGCTTTAATTCCTAGCCCAGTTTTTTTTTTCTCCCAGTTATGCGGCCAGTAGGAATATGACATTAAAAGGAAGCGCTGAAGACCAGGATGAGGGGGGTGAGAGGATGGAAAGAGCATGTGTGTGTGTGTGTGTAAAGGCTCCACTTGTAAAGGGACCCGTGCGCTAGGTTGATTCCGCTCGAGTTGATTCGCTGTGACAGGACTCCCAACATGCTTTGTGCAGTGGACGCACCACAGAAAAGAAAGAGTGGCCTCGTGTACGTCTTCACATTCACTATTGTCTATAAGACCTTATGGCAAAGCATTAATTCATGAAACAAGGTAAAAATCAATACCAAGAGCTAACAATAACTCTCTGAACACCTAATTTTTTTCAAACACAAAAAAAGTAAGGATACATACGTTGCCGAGATGTGCCCATAATCTGGAAAGCATTGCATTATATTTGTGCGCATCTTATCCATTTATAAACATCTTTAAAAGAGATAATTCACATACAACTGAGATAACATTAATATCATAATGTTAACAATGGAGATAACATTAATAACTTCTTATTTCTTTGCAAGCATCTGATAAATCTTAAAAAGAGCTAATTCACATGTAAATGAAATTATTAGCATATGTTGTTAAAAAATCTCAATCAAAAAATCTCTCTTTTAATCGTTTAATCACCACCACAGCGTCTTGTCTCCATTGGCAACACGCACGATTTGTGACGACTGCAAGTGACGTCGCAGGTATCGGAGAGTGCAAGTGGTGATTGCAAGTGACATTGTAATTTAGTTTCTTTTTTCTTGTCTTCACCACCTGGCTACTGTTGTAAAATGTTGAGAGATTCAAACAAAAAGTAATCAATAAATAGAACAAAATAAAAAATAAAAAAGACTGCAAGTGACGTCGCTAGCGGAAGCGCAAGTGTCTGAGAATGCAAGTCTGAGAGTGCAAGTGCAAGCCTGCAGCCAGACCCTTCTCAAAAATCTTACTAACATCTCAAACTTCCTAAAATGAACTATTTACTGAAATCTAAATTATTAATTTGTTCATAAACATCTGAGAAAAACCGCTGAATGTTGTTAATGTTGTAACATCCACCAACAAATGTTTTAGCAAATGTATTGATGAAAAATACACTGAAATAATTGTATTGTTTTGTCAAAGAACTAACTAAACAAAATAAAACTAAATTAATAACATGACCTAACTATTATTTAGCAATATTACAAATAATAAAACAAAATAAACAAGACTTTGACACATGTAACTGCGACCTGAAATTTAAAATAAGTTTAAATAAAAAATTAATTAGCTGAAAAAAAGCAACTGACAGTTTTAAAATACACATTTTAAATAAAACACATACATTAATAAATAAATAAACAAATAAATGAAAAACAAAAACTCATGGAATTGAAATCATTAGCATCTAATTTGTTCATAAACATCTGATAACCTTCTAAATAAAGAAATTATTACATGAACATAATTAAAATGATAAAATAACAAATATTAAAATGACAAAATAATGTAATAAATACATAAAAATAAAACAGAAGACAAGAGAAGAGAAATAAAACAGATTTTAAGAAATGAACGACATTAACACATAAATAACATTATAAAATAACATAAGACATATTAAAATAATGACATCATAAACTATAATAATACATAAATATCTAGAAAAATAAATAAAACTCATTAGCATTTAATTTGTTCATAAACAACTGATAAGCATCTAAATAAATAAATAAATGAATTAATTTGGAATCATCTGAGGTCATTAGTGTTTGTAAACCACACCCCCTTTGGCTATTACGTACACACAGAGCAAATGAGTGCAAGAAAGAAACGGGGCAGGAGAGAGAACTGTAAACAAACTGACCTTTACAGAAAGACGGACACAAAAGAGATGAAAAGATAAAGCATGCAACATGAAGAGATGAAAACAAGGAAGAATATAAAGAGGCAGAATGAGAGGAAAAAGAACAGAACCGAAAGAGCGTGAGCCCCAAAGATTTTCCTCATCTGCAGTCTGGCCACTGAGAGGTTTTAGCCAGTATGAAAATATTGATTCTGCAACTCTGCGGCCCCTGAGGGCTGTGCTGGGTGCTTGTGATGGGGAAGAGGGGATCTGTGTCAGCTGAATCTCCCCCCTGCCTGTCTGCCAAGGAGCACGTCTGATTGAACACGGCCACACTAACACGAGCTGACAGCTAGAGAGAGGTCCACCCTGCCTGCCCCTCTCTACTAATGCACTTTACTGAGCCAGTGTGTGTGTGTGTGTGTGTGTGTGTGTGTGAGAGAGAGAGTCAGAAAGATAGGATGATGCAAAAGGCATGAAAAAGATGAGGGACCAATGAAACATCTTTTAAAAATACATTTTCTGAAGAAAACGTGAGCAGTGTTTGTCTGTGTAAAATGCTCTGCCATGATTCTAGACTGTTGTGGATGGTTGCCAGGGTGTTGCTATGCTGAGCAGTGTTATTTATGTATTATTTATATACTATTATAGTATTATTAACTTTTATTTTCTGTATATATTCAGTTTTCATGTTAGATTAAGCTTTAGTAATTTTGTTACATGCTTTTGACCTTTTTATTTATTTTTTTTAAATATTAGCTTTAATAATATTTAGCTTTAATTTTAGTACTTCAACATAAACTTATTTTACTTAGTTGCCAAGGGAATATTTCTAATTTTTATATTTTTTAAATGTACGTTTTACTGAATATTTAAGTTTGTATATATGTTTAAGTTTCATCTAATATTTATATTCTTTTATATTTATATTTTTATATAATACTTTATATTTAATTTCAGCTTTATTTCAAATAACAAATTTAGTTTTAGTTAACAATTACAGCACTGGTATTTTAGTATCACTGATATACTGATATAGTTTTTGTTAATATTTTGAATTAGATTTTGTTAGTATTTTCTGTTTTCACTTTAGAGAGGAGCGAGTATGAGAAGCATTCACAGAAACAGGCTGTGTGTGCGCTCTTCTGAATTGGGAATAGCCAACATGCATTATAAACTTATTTCAAATGAATCTGTTGGGGAGATAAAATGTGTAAGATAACGTTCACGTACTAACAAAAACATCTAAGAATGTATCGTTTATTCTCCAGTACTGAAAACAGAACCGATAAGGGAGTTTTTGATATGCGCTGTGACGCAGCTCTTGCAAATTACCTTTTTTGTTCGTTGTCTGTCATTTCGAAGCTTAAGTTGCATACGGTTTTCTTTAGTTTTAATTTGCCTAACTATCGATCTGACCCAGTAGACGCCAGTAGCGCTCTGTCTCTCTCCCGCTTTGGATTTAATTTTTTTTTTAATGGTGGGTGTTTACGCAGTTGGCTAGAGCAGTGCTGATTGGGGAGAACCGAGGTGCGCTCCCTCTTGCCCAGGGCAAGAAAGA